ATTGGAATGTGTTTTGGCTATAAATACTTATTTTTATATTTTTCCTTCTTTTTTGTCTAGAATACCACTGATCATAAATTGATTTTTTAATATCTATTTTCATTATTTTTTAACTTCATTTGGATGTTTTTTATTTAATTATGCTTTAAAAATACTTTGCATATTTTTTAGATTTGTTTTGTATTTCTTTTCATTTTTTTTAACACTTTTTGGCTATCTCGGGACTTGCCCGGCTAGTTTCTAGGTCCGGCTCGATTTTTGTAACACCTATGTTTATATGTTCCCATCATTTTTGAATTAGTTAAAAAATGCCCCCAATCACAAGTTGATTTTTTTTTAAAAAATCTCTTATAACTTTATTTTGATGTGTTTTACTTAATCTTTTTTTAAACATACATTTCTTATTTTTTTTGTTTTTTTATTTTATTTTTTACCTTTTTTTTGTTGCTACAATATTGGATACTACTCGGGCCGAGTTACTCAGACTCAGTCGAAGTACTCGGGTCGGGTATGGGCCGAGTACTGCCTGTGTAGTCGTTTCCAACACCGGTTTGACCATGGAATTTACGCTCTTGAAAGTTGAGAGAATCCTAAATAAAAGAGAAGTCATAGCATATTTAGACAGTCACATTTATTTTTTGAGAGAATAGAGATAGAATCAAGGAAAAATTACAAAAAAAAAAAAACCCTAAGACCATATTTTTTTATGTAATTTTCCCAACCAATTTTTTTCTCTCACTTTTTTTTTCAAAAACAAACTTTCTATGTAAATACCCCCGAAAAAGTTCATTTTTTTAGATAGAAATGCTCTTCTCGTATACAAAAATCATTTTGGCGAGATTTGACATTGACTTTTGGACCTAGCACATTGTCGGAGCGCATTATCACATTGCTGGAGCGCACAAGTACCGAACCGCCCTAAGACAATTACCGGACCAAAACTGAGTACAGCCAAATCACCTTTTATACCGTGCTGGAGCACTAGAATCCAGTAACATCTACTATGGACCTCCCTTTGCAACTATCGGACTGCCATTTTCAATTGCAGGACCCTACTTTACACAAAGCTGAAGCCCTACTACCGGACTGCATTTTACACAGTGCTGAAGCCCTATTGCCAAACTGCACTTTACACAGTGCTTGAGCCCTACTACCGGACCACACTTTACATAGTGCTTGAGCCCTACTATCGGACCACACTTTACACAGTATCAGAATGCTTGAGCCCTACTGTCGGACCACACTTTACACAGAACCCTACTACCAGACCACACTTTACACAGTATCGGAGCGCTTGAGCCCTATTGTCGAACCACACTTTACACAGTACTGGAGTGCTGTTGACGGACTGTATTTACACGGTGCTGGAGCCCCTAGTTGGGTAGGATAGAAGAGAGAAAGTCGTGGATAAGATAAAAATAAGGGAGGGTAGTTTAGACATTATTATTAATATTATTATTCATTTGGTTGGACGGTATTTGTGTATTTTGGAAAAAAAGTGAAAAAAAAAAGTTTTAAGTTAGAGTTAAGTTGCATAAAGAGTTTAGTTTTAGGGTTTTTTTTATAATTTTACCCAGAATTAAACATTCTCCGTTACTCCTTGTCTTGAAAAAACACACACACTCTCTCTCTCTCCATTTATTCGTCTTTCGATAACAGCGAACCAGAGAGATGGCAAGCCGCACAGAGCCACTTCTGAATCAAGATAACCGTGATGAAGGACACGGCTTAGTGGAATTTGAAGGGGACACAGCACCCATCAGGAGTTTTGCTGATTTTCGCAGAGAGTTTTGTATCGAGTCGAAGAGGCTTTGGTATTTATCGGGCCCTGCGATGTTCGCTTTTATCTCCAAGTACTCTCTAGGCGCCATCACCCAAGCATTTGCAGGTCATGTCGGCACCCTCGAACTAGCCGCTGTGTCCGTCGAGAATTCTGTCCTTGCTGGCCTCTCCTTTGGTGTCTTGGTATAAATATCTCTCTCTATGTGATCCTTCTAAGTCTCTCTCTGACGTCCATCTCCTGGTGAAAGCATAGAGAGGTCCTTCGAGTCTCTCTCTCACTCCCATCTCCTGGGTAGAGCATCGATTGGGTTTATCAGGCTTTTTCAGGAGAGGGAGAACCAGAATTATAATATAGGGTACACAAATGTGCCATCTACCATTCGGTCTCATCAATGGACGGTGGATGGCAGGTAAATGCACCCTTTTTCATGCCCCGATCCATTAGGTGTTTTTGTTTATGGTTCTCACTCGACCGCTTCTCTAGCTGTATCAGTGCACGCACACTAAGAAAACTCTAATAATTATTTGAAAACATATGGGATGAGCCGATGATTCCATGGTTTACTATAGCCAGGATTGCCTATCGACTCGAGCCATACGATTACGGTTCAAAACAACAACTAAAAAAGCTAATTTAGGGGAGGCAATGGGTCGGGTCCAGTTGGACCCAAGTAATATTTGGGTTCAAAATTTGGACCCATGCTTGGACTTGTTGGGTCTTGAGTCTGGTTGAATCTATTGCCATCCTATAGCTATGAATATTTATTTATTTAACTTTTTTAGTTTTTTTTTACTGTCATATATTAAATGATTATAAGTTTTTATTTTTTTATTTTTTAATCAATAATACTATAAGTATCATCAATATTGTGACAATATGTACATATAGTGCGGGCTTAAAAAGTAAAAGCACATGATTATCATCATATATTTTATGGGCTTAAAAAGTAAAAGTACATGATTACCATCACATACTTTATGACTACAGGTATGGTTCGGGTTTGATTGGACTCAACCTAAACCTGGATAGTATTTGAGTTCAAAATAGAATTATAACCGATCGTAAGTTGGGTCTACCCATAAGTCCCTTGTCTTGTAGGGGAGCACATTTTTCATTTTTTACTGTTTACCCAATTCCATGTCGCATTCCATGTCACATCTGTGAAGTAGACAAAAGCAAACGACATTAAGCACCTCAAATGTTTCTGCCCTGCTATGATGTAATATGTCGTCCACTTTTGACTCGATGAAGATCACATGAACCGCCTCCAAATTGAAGGGGCAAAACGTTTTATAAAATTATTAAAAGGGTCAAAAGATACATTTGAAGATTTATTTTTAAATTTTTATTTCAAAATAGGTTCTCTTCCAATTAGATATGTTCTCAAAAATATGTTTTTAAATTTCTATTTTCAATGGGGTATGTCTTAAAAAAAAAAAAATTAAAAATTTCTCAAATTGCCCCAATTAAAAATTTCTCAAATTGCCCCAATTCAATATTGTGGGCCACAATTAGGGATACTTTGGCAACCTTATCCATGAAGAGGTCTTAACAAAATAATAGAAGTACCCCTACTTGTTCAAAGTTATAAATAATTGACAATTTATTGAGCACTTGAAATGAGTAACAATAAAGAGTATTTACATCATTTGACATAAAGATCACTATGTTACCAACCCTAATTAGACTACTATCTAAAAAAAATAAAATAAAATTACCAAATTGCCCCTGTTCAATAAACAATTAGGGACGCTTTGATAATTTTACTCGTAAAGAGATCTTAACATATTGAAAGAATTATCGACTTTTTTTATGCCAACAGTTTGTTCTGAAGTTGAAATATGGAATAATAAGGCGTATTTATGTTATGGGGTTGTGTTAGGGAGCTTACATTATAGAGTAATTTATCATTATAATTAACAAATTTTGGACACTTCTATACCTTTGTTTTGTATATAGAGCATTTTTTTAATAATGGTATTGTTAGTCATTAGGAGTGGTGTGGGGTCATATCACCTATATGGAGCATACTAGTGGCATTTAATGTTTCATGTAGGTGATGTCACACCTTATATGGATGGCATTATACTTTTTTTAATAACAAAAAATGCCTTTACGAAAAAAACTCTATATACGAATGATAAATTACTCCATGGTATTGGCACCTTAACATAACCTCCATAACATAACGGCAAATGCTGGCTTAGGCCCACTAGCCTACATCTATATATAGGCCCAACGTCTGATAATGAATCTCGGCCGATCCAATTATCACGATTGCATTTCATATTTGAATTTATATAAATCTAAATCACTTGAAATTTTCGGCATGTGTTTTTTAAAAATATTATAATCCAATAAAACTATCAAAAAAAATATTTTGTAAAAAATAAATTGATCAAAATACCTTCGAAACATTTCAGGGGTATTTTAATCAATTTATATTTTGTGAATTATTGTTTTAATATTTTCATTAGGTGCGTGTTGATGAGAAGAATGAATGCTTAAAATTCACATGATTTGGATTGTAGAAAAAACTTAAAATTCAAATATAAAATGAGATCGTATCCGTCAGATCGGCCTATATTGAATCTAGGCTGTTGGGCCTATATGTAGCTGTAGGCTAGTTGGCCTACCCCATTATTATCCTAATATAAATACCCCTTATTATTCCATATTTCAACTACAGAACAAATTGTTTGAATAAAAAAGCCGGTAATTCTTTTAGTACGTTAAGATCTCTTTACGGGTGAAATTATCAAAGTGCCCCTAATTGTTCACTTAACAGGGGCAGTTTGGTAACTTTTTTTCTTTTTTCTTTTTAGGATGTACATAGTTGAAACTTAGTGGTCTAATAACGGTGAAGACTTTAAACTTTTCCTTTACCTGTCTCAAACTCGGGTTAAGGAGGTGGGCTGCGTCAGGTAGGTAATCAAGATAAAACTTTGCCATATCTTATCATGAATCATGAACCTAAAGAGAAGAAGACTCATGTAGCTAATCCCAAATAATTGAGATAATAGTTGGATACCGGTGATGATATGACATGATTGAAAGTTAGAAATTTAAAAACATATCTTCAATTATAATTTGTGATCTTTTAACCCTTTTAATAATTTTGCAAAGGGTTTCAACTCTTAATTAATATTTTCCCAACAGAAAAAAGGACTAATACTTTCTTCACTTGTTTTATAACAAGTCAAATTTATGAAAGTACCTACTAAAATCTTTCAATGTAATGATCTTCTGTCCCTCCCATCCATTAGGTGAAGGGTAATTAAAGTTTGTTTAGAACAGGAATTAGGCTTGGGTCAAGATGGAAGAGATTGGGTTTTCATGGCACAACCTTTTTAGTTCCATTCCTATGTGATCTTTTCAGGAAAAATTATAGTTCGTCTGGAAAGGGTTTTCTCTCTCACCGTTTCAAAATTTAGCTGAAAAATAGCCAAAGACTCGTCAGGACCAAATGATTTTATACTCTTATAGGACTGTACTGTACATTTGAAACCTTTCTTGATGATGCATTTGTTGAAATTCAGCATCTTTTAAAAATCAAATTCATCTTAGGGAACGATTTTGGACTAAAATTCTGCACAGTAGTCTCGGACACCATGATCATGAACCTAAAATATAATGGAATTCATCAACGTTCACTTTGGAGGTTTTGGCCAGAAAGGGATGCATTTTCGCACTTCTATTGATCAGTGGAGGTCTTGGAGTATATTGAAATAGTAAAAATAAAAAAATTACGTAATATGATGGTAATATTAAATATATAAATAAAATTATCACTTTTTAGTGTATAAAAAACCATCACTTTTTAATTATTTTTTACGAGTTTATTTAATAAACTTTTAAACATTTTTTTCCTTTGAAAATTTTGATTTGAATTTATTGCAACTTTATTTTATTTTAATTTTTCTGATTCATAATTTCCAATGTTCACGTCGCCATTAAAAGATATTAAAAGTGTTATAAAATGAATCCAAAAGGGACCGTTTATGTAGGTGGGCCTTTAATTGCTCCATGATGAGAGTGCCATTGCAGCAATAGACTTACTTAAAGGGAATGTTACCAAGAAGTAAATGATATATGGTTATGTTTTGTCCCTGCATGACTTGACCTAAAAAATAGAAAATGAAATTACTAAAGGCACGTTTGTTTCATTTGAAAGATTTTCTTGATATGGTTAGATATGAGAATATTTTCATGTCAATTAGCTGTCAATGTTCAATACATTTTTTCACCATTTGACAGCTATTTGGTACAAAAATATTCTCACACCTGACTACACGAAAAAATCACGTAAAAATATTTTTTATAAAATATTTTTACACGAACTATTTTGTTTAGTCCATATTGCATGTGCAAAACAGGTTACGGATGGTCAATATTGGCCTTGACTATTAGGAAGTAGCCTATTTTGTTTAGTCCACATTGCGTGTGCAAAAGGGGGGTTATATATATATATATATAAAATACAAAATGGTGTTATAAATGTGAAATTAATGCTTTAATTTGTCTTCTAGAAGACTTTAGTTATAAAAAAATTGTTTCATGTAGGCTGGACTGCATTTCTCTATATGCGGTTTAGAAAGTGTAAAGTATCAAATATGTGCTCCATCTAAAAGCAATGGAAACTAACGGTCCAAATGCCTTATGACTAGAATTATTATTTCTAGTTTTTAAAATTTATTTATTTTTTCATATTCACGATCTCCATGTTAGAGATTACATGTCTTTAAAAATTAAGTTTTAAAATTTATCTAAAAAATAGATTTATTAAAAGGCTTGTATTTCTACATATGTAGGCTTGGCTTCATAGAGACCAGATTCTTAGTTATATATGAGTAAGTAGTTCTTATCGAGGATGATTATTATAGTAGGCAAATGGGAAATAAATGTGGCAATGTTCTAGTGTTTTAAAACCTGGATTAGTAAGGTGGATTGTCCACCTTACAAATATGTATCAAATTGCTGATCTGGATAGGTTCGAATAAAAAATCCAAAAAGAACCTTTCAAATAAAATTAAAAAAATTTAAAGAGTGGTGAGGTCTCAGCTAGTATCGATACCTTCCCAGAATTAGTTCAGTTTGGTGATTCCCAATCTTGGTCGCCAAGTTTTGAGACACTGGTATATCTCACTGAGTTCAGAACCAAACCACTAAAAGCTGGCCAAGTTTGGTCGGTTCCCTATATTTTATCTTTATTTTTAAGAACTCAACCAAATTTATTTGACCTAGCTAGTGCCGATCTGAATCCTTGTTTTAAACCACTAACCCTAACAAAGCCCTACTAAATGTGTGCAGTTGGGCATGGGGAGCGCACTAGAGACTCTATGTGGCCAAGCCTATGGAGCAGGGCAACTGGAAATGATGGGTGTATACATGCAAAGATCATGGGTCATCCTCATCTGCACTTCACTAATACTATTGCAACTCTACATCTTTTCCACACCAATCCTCCTACTAATAAGGCAACAAACCAGCATTGCCAAAGCAGCAGGCACCTTTGCTCACTACATGATGCCCCAACTTTTTGCCTATGCCTTGAACTTTCCCATAGCCAAATTCTTACAGGCTCAGAGAAAAGTCATGGCCATTGCAATTATATCTGCAATAGCCTTAGTGTTGCACACCTTCTTCAGTTGGTTGCTTATTATAAAGCTGGATTGGGGCCTGGTTGGGGCTGCGGTGGCTTTAAATGGCTCATGGTGGTTCATAATAGTGGTGCAATTGGCTTATATCTTTAGTGGAACATGTGGGAGGGCATGGAGTGGTTTCTCATGGAAGGCATTTGAGAATTTGTGGAGTTTTGTGAGGCTCTCTGTTGCATCTGCAGTCATGATGTGGTAAGTACAATCCTAAATAAAAGGGAGAATCATAGATACACCCTAACCCCCCCCCACCCTCATACTATATATATATATATATATATATATATATATATTATTTAACTAACTACAATGCTATTTATTTTG